CAAGCGACCTGTAGAGCGAAGATTCGTATGTATATACATATTTAATGGTGGCACCATCTATTGGGTCCTAATCCACATGACCTCCCAAATTGGCACTACAGATCAGCAGTAGAGTACAAACTAGTAATAGGTCTCCCAGCCCTGCTATTATCCCTGGAAGTCTTAGCACAGAATTGTACCTAATCTTCCCTACCCTAGTGCATCTGAACATATGTTTAAACATTCTATTTTCTTCCATCTTTAAGTCTTCTGCCCAAAACCAATTTTCTGTCTCTTTTACTTTTATTCTGTCTTCAGTTTTATAGAACCTAATGTCATGGTCTTCTTTCTAGCCTATATATAAAGCAGATCTGATACCATATCAGGACAGTCCTGAAGGTCAAGACCAGTCTTCTGCTTCATCTGGGGCTCCCAACCCTCCCAAGGCTCGAACTTACGCTGAAACCGTCAACCATCACTACTTGCTCTTTCAAGACACAGATTTGGTAAATTGAGGCCAGGAGAATGGGTCTGGCATTAGAAAAAGTAGAAAACTTTAGTCCTTGTATAGTAGGGGATTCTAAGGAGTTCCAGCACAAAGATGCAAGACTAAGAAGCTGCTCACTTTCTCTCTCCCATTACACACCTCCTCCCCAGAGTTCATTCCATGGTCTGCTCCATAGAGAACCAATGCTGCGCATGCAGGAGGGAGAGGGGCATTCAAAGCTCTACCTGGACAGGCTGCAGCTAGAGGCTATTCATAAGGTAAGAACCTTGTCTCTTATCTTCTCTACCCTTCATTCTCATTTTCTCCCAACTCTGGGCCTGTGATCAATGAAATGGGAGATGAAAAGGTAACAGAGACAGCTAAGGAGGGAAAACAGCTCTGGCAACCTCACCCTCCAGAGCATGATAGACATGCCTCATTCATCTCTTCTCATTCCTACCTCTCTTACCCCATCATGGTCCTATCCTTTCAGATTGTGGCTCATTTTTTTGCTGTTACAGCTAGGACTCACCCTAAAGCACCAACTCTGAGCACCTCTTTTGTTTTCTGTTCTCTTCACAGGTACGTTTCAGCCCAAACCTGGACTCCTATGGATGGCTGGTATCTGGGGGGCAGTCAGGGCTGGTTCGGATCCATTTTGTCCGTGGACTCACCTCCCCACTGGGCCACCGTATGCAGCTTGAAAGCCGAGCCCACTTCAGTGCTATGTTCCAACCATCCTCCCCTACTAAAGGGCCTGGCTTCCCTCCAATCAGCCACCGCCTTCTGCCCAGTCCCTAGTCATGGTCCACACAGGACCTTGGAATGAAGTCTGCCAAGAACAAATGGCTCCCATGCACAGAGCCATAGGAACTGGGGCCTTCCTGAACAGTGATGCTGCCAGGCCTGGATCTTTAGACCTGCCTCCCCAGGATTCCTTAGAGCCCTCTCCTTCCACAGACTTCTCCTGTCATCACAGCCCCCTGCGGGCAGGGGGGCTGTCCCTCCACAAACTCGCAAGCCTCCTCAGCCTAAAACTATGGCTCACAAGAAACACTCAGGCCTGACCTAGGCTTGGGAGTCAAATTGCTCATATTGAGCATATTGTGAAGTGGGTAAAGCTAAGTAAAGGTTCTGGGTGTTTTTGAGACCACATGTGAGTGGGTGTTTGGAGAATTGGAAAGGGTATCTGCATGAAGGCTCCTGTTTCACTATATCCCGGGATCCAATATTACTACCTTCAATAATTTCCTGTTTAGAGTAACCAACACACAGGCCCATGAGGGGGTGAGGATAATTTATTGGACTGAAGCTGCTTATAGTACTTCTTGGGCTGAGGAACACCACAGACACCCTACCAATAGAACAGCAGCTCAGATCTTAGTTGCTCCTGCTTATGAAGTATTCCTGATCACTGGTCATCTGACCCTACGTGAACACTCCTAGACAGTCATGTTTTAAAAAATCTTCCTTTATATCAAGTCAGAGTATACCTCTACAAATTTTACCATGAGTGTTAGGAAATCTAGTCATTCTTCCCTGTGTTTGCCCTTTTAAGTATTTAACAATAGCTATCATGTGTTTCCCAAGTCTTTTCTTCTCTAGATTAAATATCTTTAGTTACTTTAACCATTCTTTTACACGTCATGATTTTTGATCTTTCATGATACTGTCACATTGTTGACTTACTAAACATGCTTAGCTACTTTATTTCAACTCTCTCTATAGGAGGTGTTTAGAACCCAAGTACAGTAATGTATTTTTATATCTCATCTTGTTAGAGTCCTCTTGTGGGTTGCTGCAGACTTGTAGTGACTGCAATACTGCCTCCTAAGCAAAGACAACCCCACCAATGAGAAATAGGCAAACCATAGTCTTGGAATGTATGAGTACAATCTGAGTCTTAGGGGGAAGTAGTCAGATGACCTCAGGAAATAGAGAAAAATATGCAGCCAGCTCCTGTTGAAGGGAGTGGAGATTAGTTTAGTGCCTACCTGGAGCAAAACCCTCTGGCACTTTAGACTGATTGGCCCAATATCTGGAAGCAGATTTCTGCCTCTTTGATGTAGGGAATTTATCATATGTCAGAAAATCTTTAAGAAGAAAGGAATCAAGTAGTTCAATTCCCTTCCTGTAGAGAAGAGGAAACAGACCTGGAGGAAACCCAGACCATTAGTAGCAGAGGGACCTCAACCCATGTCAGTACAAAGGACCATCCTATTGTGATCCAGCTCATGTTATGCCAGTATTGTTTTTTTAGCTGACTGATAAGGAAGTGCCTTCCATTACAGAGAAGCTTTGTTCACTCTACCTAGCAGCCCCTTGACACTGCATCATGAAATCCCACTCTCAGTGGTAGAAAAGATGGAATCTGGGGACCCATGCTGTTGAGGCTGTAGGTTGGTGCTGGCAGCCCTGTTCCTGCTTCTGAGTCTCAGCACTCATCTCAACCTCGAAAAGAAAATCAGGAAGATGCTTTCAGCTCTTGGTCTCTTTCACTACCATAAACCTTTTTCTCCCCAGGCCACTCCCCTTCCAACCCTCCCTCCCCACATATCCACTTTATATTACCCATTGGTTCCTGCACTTTTCTACCTTTGTGCCTTGGCTCACATTATTCCCTCCTCCAAGAGTGTCCTTTTCCAACATCTCCACCTAAGACCTATTCATCCTTCAATGTCCCAGCTCAAATCCCACCTTCACCAAGGAGCTTCCCACATTCCTCCAGTAAAAATTATTCTCCCTCCCATGTGTTCCCAAGAGGGAAGGAAGGAAAAGAGGATAAACAAGTGTTTATTAAGCACTTGATCTATTTCAGATACTTTGCTTATGTTACTTAATCATGTGAGGTAGGTATTGCCCCATTTTACTTGTTGAAGAAAAATAAGATTCTGAGATGACAAGCAGTCTGAATAAGGTCACATAACTACTAAGTAGTGGTGCTGGGATTTGAACCTAGACAATCTGACTTCAGAATACAACTTCCCAACCTACCACATTCGGTCTCCTATTACATTTACTAGTGTAAATTCACTCTAGCACAGTGTTTTGCATATAGGAGCCTTTAGTTAAATGTGACATCAGATTTTCTTGCTTCCTTCTTGTGGTTTCTCCAGTGTCTGTGACAGGATTCTCACTGCTTTAATCATATAGGAATTGAGTGAATCGGAGCTGGAGCTAGCCAGGTAGAGAGCCTGAAAGAGTCAGATATGGCTGCCTCCTGAAGTGTGGGCTCCCTGGAAGTGGTTAAGCAAAGACTGCCAGCCTGACAGGGATCTTGGAGTTCTATCACCCTAGAAAGGATGTACTATATTCACAGAATTTTAGAATGTTAGAGCTGGATAGGGATTAAGAAATCTCCTAATCTGTTGTGGGTTTTTTTTTGTTTTGTTTTTATTTTTGTTTTGTTTTTGTTTTTTTTTGGTGAGGGAGATCAGCCCTGAGCTAACATCCGTGCTAATCCACCTCTTTTTGCTGAGGAAGACCGGCTCTGAGCTAACATCTATTGCCAATCCTCCTCCTTTTTTTCTTCCCCAAAGCCCCAGTAGATAGTTGTATGTCATAGTTGCACATCCTTCTAGTTGCTGTATGTGGGACGCGGCCTCAGCATGGCCAGACAAGCGGTGTGTCTGTGCGCGCCCGGATCCAAACCCGGGCCACCAGTAGCGGAGCACGTGCACTTAACCGCTAAGCGACGGGGCCGGCCCAATCTGTTGGTTTTTAAACACTTTTAGTTGTGAGCCCCTTTGTTTAGAAGTGGCTCTCTCTAGAAGTATATATATATATTTTTTACAGTTGAGGTAAAGAAGAACCTGTAGTGATACCTCCTCTTGCCCCAAACATCTCCTTATAAACCCTTAAAACTGAGGAGCCTAGTTTGAAAAACACATAATCTAACTCCCTCATTTCACAAATGAGGAACCTTAAGTTTAAGTCTAGTGATGACGAAGGCTGCATAGCCTGCTACTTATGAAACCAGTATCTAAACCTTCTGAGGTTCTATAATCCCTAGCTTTCTATGGAGGAGTCATCTTTATGCAGCATTTCTAAAGGCTATTGTGGACAAAGCACCGAACTAGTTGCTATGAGGACGACAAATATGAACAAGACCCAGGGCCACCCATTTAGAAGCTCACGATTGAGGCGAGTGAAGACCTCAAGATAAAAAATAACACATGCACGCACTTAACCTCTCTCTTATAGTCTCCAAACTGATCCCTGACACAGAAGGATGTCAGGACCTTGGCCAGCTCCCAGATGCGGGAACAGTGAGGGTCTATCCAGGTTGAGAGGCTCGGACGTAGGGGAGAGAAGGGGCAGGCAGAGGCAGAGGTCTGACCCAGGTGGAAGGAAGTATGGAAGGCAGGCCCCACACCAAGACCTGGCACAGTCCACTTGGAAAAGGAGTTGCTAACAGACCGAGCTGAGCCGCTCTGCATGGGTATTAGAAGCTCAGTGCACTCCCATTCCTGCTCTGGGTGCAGAGGAAAGCCTCTCAGACAGCCGGCAGGAAGGGGCGGGGCTTGCGGCGGAAGTCTTTGCCCGCTCAGGTCTCGAGGGAGGGGCTGAGCTCGTGCCAGGTGAGTAGCCGGCGTTCCGCAGTCACGGGCTCAAAGTGCCCTGCGCCACGAGCAGCCGCACTGCCTGTGGCCGTTCCAGGCTCAGGGAGTGATAGGCCCTATATCCCGTGTGGAGTTGGACTCAGGAAGGATGCAGGCTGTTCCAACTAAGAGTCTGAATCCTGGAACCGACCAGGCTCTGGGTGAAAGTCAGAGCAAACCTGTGCTCATGAGTGTCTCGGTCGGGACGGAGGACCCCAGGTGGCCCTGCTTCAGGGCTAGGGGTGGGGTGGCGAGTGCCTGCCACCGGGATTCCATAGCTGCCCACAGCCTTCCTCTCTTCCCGCATTGTGTAAGGCGACTCCTGTGACAGGAAGCTGTCCAGGAAGCATCCCTCCTGAGGCCTCTGCCACTTAAGGACATATTGGAAGGGAGGAGGGGAGGAGTGGGCACCAGGGAAAGTCAAGCGCCTCTTTAATTATGGGGAAGGGCAGTGGGGGTGACCCCTCTCCTCTTGGCTTGACAGGAAGCATGGCACTCTGGCGGGCATACCAGCGGGCCCTGACTGCTCACCCGTGGAAAGTACAGGTCCTGACAGCTGGTGAGTCTTCTGGGACCTGAGTGGGACCAGAGCAGGCTGATTTGGGAGGCAGAAGCTCACCCCACCGCACCTCATTTTTTGCTTCTATTCAGCCTCTTTGAAGGGTTGGCTGTCTCTCATTCCAAGCTGTCCCCAGTCTCTTTTGGAGGGTGGATCCCCAAGGCTGTTCTTAAGGAAAGGGGTATGCATAGTTGGCCTAGCTGTGAAGTAGGATCTGAAAGTCCTCAAAAAGGTGAGGAAGAGGCCGGCCCGTGGCTTAGCGGTTAAGTGGGCGCGCTCCGCTGCTGCCGGCCCGGGTTCGGATCCCCAGCGCACACCGACGCACCGCTTGTCTGGCCATGCTGAGGCAGCGTCCCACATACAGCAACTAGAAGGATGTGCAACTATGACGTACAACTATCTGCTGGGGCTTTGGGGAAAAAAAAGGAAGAGGATTGGCAATAGATGTTAGCTCAGAGCCAGTCTTCCTCAGCAAAAAGAGGAGGATTGGCATGGATGTTAGCTCAGGGCTGATCTTCCTCAGAAAAAAAAAAAAAAGCTGAGGAGTCATCCCTTAAGGAGAAAGGCATTGCCCCAGAAGGCCTTAATATAAAAAACTAACAATAACAAACATTCCGCTAACATTTTACAGTGTGCAAAACACTTTCAAACACATTATCTCACAGGGTCCCCACAGAGCTCTGCAAGCTAGGATTACTTATGTCCACATTAGATCACACCCCTAATAAGTGCTGGAATATGGACTCTTACCCAGTTTATTTTCCTTAGTATTTTTTTGTGAAATGTATCTTAACATACAAAAGAGCAGTTAAGACATGTACTGTTTGAATAGTATTAAAAGTGAATAATCTTGTATCAGTACCCAGCTTTGAGACCCCTGAGTGCCTCTCCCTAATTCATATATCCCAAGAGATAACCACTTTCCTGAGTTTTGTTTGTATCATTCTTTTGCTTTTCTTAATAGTTTTACTACCTGTGTATGTATCCCCAAATAATACAGTAATCAAGGATTTTTTTTACTGCAAATCCAGTGATTGAGTAGCAACCTCACAAAGGTAACCCAGTGACTTACCTGCATTTGTTACTATCTTCTTTTTGCAGATTAGCTAATATAAGAGGGGATGGTACAAAGATAAATAAGCTTTATAGGGGGAAGGATTAGAAGGCTTATGACTATCCAGGCAGTACAAGAGTGATCAGGTTAAGATGGGGTCTTCCCTATGTTTAGAGGAAGGGAACAGGATTTTAATGAAGACCATGGGCTTCTGAGAGGAATACTGTTGAAAGGGATGGGGGGCTACTGGAAGCCAGGTGACACAGGGATCCTGTTACTGGAATAGCTCCACATCAGTACTAGAAACTTCACTAGGTGACTGGGCAAGGGATGGCCTCCTTTGCTCCTCCCCGGGCCCATCTCTAGCCTCCTTGCCCGACCACCCCGTGTCCTGTCCTCAGAGTGTCCATCAGCCTGTGTGACTCACCTGGCTGCGTGTGTGGTGACTCATGCTGGACTGTGTGGCTGTGATGGGAACTGACACGCTGGGCCCTTTGCCCAGCCTCAAATTCCCTTAGGGCCCCTAACTGCCGGAAGGAAGGTTCCCCCTCGTGGCCATCAAGAATAGGGAGGGAAGGATAGTCCTTGTGTTTCCCTCCCAAGGGAACCGCAGCCGACAAGGGCAGGAACTAGAGCTCAAGGGGCCCAAGTGCAGCCTCAGTCTTCCTGAGGCTGTGCCGACATCTCAGCCCAGCCCTGAAGATGTCTCTAGGTAGCACTTTCCTCAGACTTTTCCAAACCTTTCAGACTTTTCCTTCCCTGCTGCTCAGTGTATTTGGATCAAACTACAAGTAAAGGGGAGAGATGGGTTTAGCTCACTGAGCTGTTTTTAGTCCCCAGCACAGCAGTTCCTAAGGTCGCGTGGGATAGCTCATCACACTGGAAAACAGAATAGAGATTTCAGACTTGGGGATGGAAGACAAGATTTGAATCTCAAAAAAAAAAAAGCACTTAGTAGCTGCGTGAACCAGGGTAAGTCAATAAATGTCTTTAAGCCTGAGCTTTCCTCATTTAGAACTCGAGTTTAGTTCTGTGACCTCACAGAGTCAGTGTAGGAATTATCTCTGTGAAAAGGCTTTAGAAATCAAAAAATCCTCAATAAACTTAAAAGGCTCTAGGGGTATGCCCTTTCTATGAGTGTTGCAACCCAGGCACAACAAGCTATTCTTTTTATAGTGGTGTTGGGTTAGGTTTGTTCCACTTGCCGTAAGTGTGAGCCTTGGTTCTCCAAAAAGCAGACCCTGAAGCTTCTGTGCAGGTACTTTGTAAGGGAGTAGGAAGTGATCCCATGGTGGGAAGAGGGAGAGCCGATATAAGGATGCCTTATCAAATTGGACACTGCTTAGGGCACCTGGCCACTCAATCCCTTAAAATTGACAGAGAAGCTCTTTGAAATGCTTCTTAGGACTATATGGGTGAATAGTCTTTTCTGGAGAAAAGGAGAAACTTTTACCCACCAGCTCACATCCCACATTGGTCAAAAGTTCGCCACATGGGATGTAACGCTTAAGCAATACCGGGTTGCACATGCATAGTTCCCAGAGAAAGCATCAGCAGCATAGACCCAGGTATGGCATAGGCCTAAGGCAAGGATCCATCAGGTGGAACTGCGGTATTGGCTGGAGTAAGAGATAAGTGGATCAAGAAGATCTGAAATGGTTCAAAAGAAGTGTCTGACCCACCCAGTTTTGGCCAAGCCAGAATCAAGATCACAGCAGCCTGGGGCCGGCCCTGTGGCTTGGTGGTTAAGTGCGCGCGCTGCGATGCTGGTGGCCCGGGTTCGGATCCCGGGTGCGCATCGAGGCACCA